GCCTTTTTTTAGCGAAGAGCCCCGGTTCCGATGTTTAACTTTAATCGCACCCCCCCCCCCCCCCCCCCCCCCCCCCACCCCCCGTTCTTTGAGCAGCGTTTAGCAGCGTTTAATGTGTGCGAGTCTTCTGGGCGGATTCCTTTTCGTCCAAGCCAGTTTTCGCGAGGGGGCAAGGCAGCCGCCGAAGGATCTTCTCAAAGGCTTGCACACCCTGCGGCATCCGAAGGTTGCCCGCGCCTGGTCTGCGTCTTCCCCCTAGCTGTCTCTTATAACCTTTGCCCCCCTGGAGCCAGCGGCTCACCGCCCCTCTCGGGGCCAGCGGAGTATTATGCTGTACATGCGCCCCTCTGTCGTCTCGGCGCTGCCCTCTTCATCGCGCCCCTCTGGGGGCAGCGGACTTTGCATCGCTCTCTGCTGAAGCCCTTGTTGGGGTTCCCCGAATGCCGCTCTCTGTGCTTCTCTCGGGGTCCGACGCTCGGCCCGATGTTCCCCATTCAGTGCTTCTGTCGGCGTCCATTGGCTGTTGCAAGTGGCAAGCCTTGCTTCAGCTGCATTGGCCGCCGATAACTCTTCTTTATTTTTGTTGCCGCCAGGTTCCCGATGAAGTACCGCAAGGCCCCGCGTGCTCTCTTGAGAGAGATTTTATTTGGGCAGGGTCCGTTTTCCCTGATCGTCGCCCGGCCGCGGGCTTAGCTTCTGATCGCCCCCCCCCCCTCTCTCAGGGCATGCACTCTGTGGGCTTTTAATTTATTGCGTTGCATTATTTTTCTTGGCCCCTATCTCTTACTGGGCCTAACTTTTTGCAGAGCGACCTATAAGGCGCCCAACCTCTGAGTTGGTTCGGCTTCGATTGCGCCCGTTGCCAGGACTGGACTCACTGCACCGATTGTCATCCCTCATTGCCATCGGTCCCGTTGAAAAAAAATCAACATCATCATCACCAACATCATCATCATCGGGGCACCGTCTTCATCATCAACACCAACATCATCATCATCACGGTCATCACCATCACCAGGACACCATCATCATCATCATCATCACCGCCATCACAATCATAATCATCACCATCAACATCATCGTCATCAGCAGCACCGGGACACAGCCATCGCCATCATCATCATCAGCAGCAGTATCATCATCGGGGCACCATCATGATCACCATCGTTATCATCATCATCATCACCATCGGGACACCATCACCATCATCCCATCTTCATCATCGACATCATCATCAGCATCATCAACATCAGCACCATCATCATCGTCATCATCGGGGCACCATCATCGCCATTACCAACATCAGCATCAACATCATCATCATCACCACCATCGGGACGCCATCATCATCAACATCATCATCATAATAATCATCACCATCGGGACGCCATAATCATCATCAACCTCAGCATCATCAACATCATCATTGGGACACAATCATAATCAGCACCATCAACATCAACATCATCATACTCATCATCATCGGGACACCATATTCGTCATCACCATGATCATCAACATAATCATCATGAGCATCATCATCCTTATCATCGGGACACCATCAGCATCATCATCATCGTCATCATCATCATCACCGACACCATCATCATCACCATCATCATCATCATCGGGACACCATCATCATCATATCATCATCATCATCGTCCTCATCGTCATCATCATCAGCACCATCATCATCATCGTCATCAACATCATCATCAGCAGCAGCACCATCATTGTTATTATCAGCATCACCATCATCATCATCATCATCATCATATCGTCATCATCATCATCATCATCATCATCATCATCATCATCATAGTCATAATCATCATCATCGCGGGACACCGGCGGGACACCGCGGGGCACCGCGGGACACCGCGGGACACCGCGGGACACCGGCGGGACACCGGCCGCCCGGAAGGGAGTCATTTGGTCCGGCCGCGCCTCAGCCACACGGGACACCAGCGGGACACCGGCGGGACACCGCGGGCCCCCGGCCGCCCGGAAGGGAGGCATTTGGTCCGGCCGCGCCTCAGCCACAGGAGATTTTCTCTCGCCCGCCCACGCAGCTTCGCCTCGCCCGCACGGCACGCACGAACACGAAACCGAAATCGATTTCCCGGTAGGGGGGCTCTCCGTTCCATTTCGATATCACCCCTTCACCCCCGACATATCGGAGGTTGGGGGGTGAGACCGCAGTGGAACGGAGACCCCCAACCAGGAAATCGTTTCGTTTCGTTCATGTTTTGCGTGCGGGCGAGGCGAAGCGTGGGCGCGCGAAATGAATGAACCCGCCGCTGCTAAGGCGAAGCCAAGACAAATGTTGCTCCCCCGTTCGTCCGTCCGTCCGTCCGTCCGGCGGTGGCCCTAGCGGTGTCCCATGGTGTCCGGTGGAGTCCGCCGCTGCTAGGGCGAAGTCAAGATCTATGTTGTTCCCCCGTCCGTCCGTCCGTCCGTCCGTCCGGCAGTGGCCCTACCGGTGTTCCGTGCTGTCCCTTGGTGTCCCGTTTAGTGAGATCGATATTGAGATCGATATTGAGATCGATATTGAGATCGATGTGGTGTTCCGAGGTGTCCCGTGGCGCCTCGTCCTGTCCCAAAAAATGAAATCGATAGTGAGATCGACAGGTGTCTCGTGGTGTCCCGTGGTGTCCCGTTGAGTGAGATCAATGGTGAGATCGATGTTGATATCAATGTGGTGCCCCGAGGTGTCCCGTGGTGTCCCGTTGAGTGAGATCGATAGTGAGGTCGACAGGTGTCCCGTGGTGTCCCGTTGAGTGAGATCGATAAAGAGATCGATATTGAGATCTATGTGGTGTCCCGTGGTGTCTCATTGTGCTCCGTTGAGTGAGATCGATGGTGAGATCGATAGTGAGACCGATACTGAGATCGAGAGGTGTCCCGCGGTGTCCCGTGGTGGCCCGTGGTGTCCACTTGAGTAAGATCCATAGTGAGATCGACAAGTGTCCCGTGGTGTCCCGAGGTGTCCCGTGGTGTCCCGTTGAGTGAGATCGATAGTGAGATCGATTGAGTCAGATGTTGGTTCCCCCCTCTCCCCTCCCACACAACCTCCTTATCACCCGAAGGGTGGTCGTATAGGTCTATATATACATATATATATATATATATATATGTGTGTGTGTCTATGTCTTTCTCTCTCTCTCTCTTTCCCTCTCTTTCTCTCTCTCTCTGTATCTCTATCTCTCTCGCTCTCTCTCTCTCTCTCTCTCCCTCTCGTTCTCTCTTTCTCTCTCTCTCTCTCTCTCTCTCTCTCTCTCTCTCTATATATATATATAGGTTGGGTATATATATATATATATATATATCCCGTTATCTCTCTCTCTCTTTCTCTGTGTCTGTCTACCTCTCTCTCTCTCTCTTTCTCTCTCTCTCTCTCTGTCTCTCTCTCTCTCTCTTTCTCTCTCTATGTCTCTATCTCTCTTTCTCTCTCTATCTCTCTCTCTCCCTTTATAGTTCCTCTCTTTCGTTATTCCTTGCCTTCGTCTGAAGGGAGTTGCTCGATTTGGAAATTGTGAACGAACACATGGATTTCTCTTTATATGTCTATATCTCTCTCTATCTCTCTTTCTCGCTGGCTCTTCTTCTATATTCAAGATCCCTTCGGAGGTGAGGGTACGTATGCATGTGTGTAGAGAGTGGGAGAAGGATAGGACGAGAGCGAGAGCGACTAGCTTGAAGAGGAGACAGGGAAGAGCGAGCGAGTGGGTGGGGGAATGAGGGAGGGAGAAAGAGAGAGAGAGAGAGAGCTATGCCGCCTCATGATGGTGAGGATGCTGCCTAACGAAACGAGGGGCGACGCAGAAAGAACAAACAAAATACAGAAATAGAGTCCGGGAGAGAGAGAGGGAGAGAAAGGACAGGGGGCGGGGGCTGGGGCAAGGAGGGAGAGACGAATGAGGGCGCATGGAGAATGACCTCAGAAAGAATGGCGGCATGTATGGTAAATGATGTGGCAAGTCGAAACCAACAAAACGTGCAATGTTCTGGCAACTAATATCGGTGCGTGTATACATATCTATGCATATATATATATATATGTATATATATACAGCAGCTTCTGATGCATTATGATTTAATCCCCCCGAGCAGGATAGCTTCCCCTCGCAATTCTCATATATAAATAGTATGTTTGCTTGCCCCGGTTACCACGTACATAAGAATATGCAATTGTGTTATAGAGAGAGCATACAGGAGGGAGGAGGTAAGATAGAGAGAGGGGATTAGATAGAGCGAGTGCGAGAGGAGGATTCACTGACCATGCATGTACAGACCCAAGCACGACAGCGCTCCTTCCTGCGAATTGGACAACTTTCATGTCATTCGTTGTTTTGAGAACAAGGTCGTTGGGCGGGATACAACCTGACCCATTTGAGTCGACATCATTTGTCATGGCTCGAGCTAAACAGTGTTTTTCGTTTTCGTATTGTGTTCGTTTTTCCTTTGTCTGTCTTCGTTCCGCCCTTGCTGCAAAATGAAGTTAAAACGAAAACGGCCCACGAAATCGTACAAATACCGTTTAACTCGAGCCATGTCCCATGTACACGCTCAAGTACGAGAGTGATCCTTCCTGAAAATTGGACACTTCTCATCCCATTCGCTGTCGGGAGAAACAGTTCGCTGAGCTGGATACAACCTGACCCATTTGAGTCGATCTCATCTGTGACGGTTGTCTCTACTCCATCCGAGCGGCTCAGCAAGGACAGGGAGCAGGTGGACAGCGAAGAGGAGGGGGAGCCGGCCAGGCTCTCTCGTCCCCTGGGCCCCGAGAAAGTGCCCCCCCGCGGGTGCCAGAAGCGACGGGATCGTCGTCGTCGTCGCCGCCGTCGTAGGCCTCGTCGTTGTCGGCGTCGTAGCCGTTGATCTCGTCGCCGTCGTCATAGCTTTCGAGAAGAGAGAAAGGAGCAGAAACGATGTTCTGCTGCAGCCGAAGGGCCAGCCCCTCGGAGTCTCGACCTCGCGGTGCGGTCACCGAGGCGCGGGCGCAGCGGCAGCCCGAGCGCCGGGCGCAGCAGGAGCCGCACCCGCCAGCGGAGGCGCCCCTCCCGCGCTGGAAGCCATTTTTTGTTGTTCCGCCCTTCGAAGGCCCGCAAGCTTGGGGCCCTCGTGGGCACGCGCGACCAGCGGCTCACCAGGATTCCCCAGAGGCCAAGTAAAGATTCGCCCATCGCTACTGGTAAGTTTGTTTGCTCCCAGTGAGGCTTACTCAGGGCAGGGTGTCTTGATTGCTTTGCGTAACGGAACGTTGTATGACCTCCCTCGTCATGCCAGTGTGTGAATATGTCTCGCAGTGTTGATGAGATGTGTATAGTTTTGGAATATGCGTGTGTGCGCTATTGTATTGTAGTTGGCTAGGCGAAGCTACACGATATTCAGATACGTGTTGATACCACATGTTGTGCTACTCGATGTCATGATATTGCATGCGATGCTAAGCGAGCATGCGCCACGAGTTGGACTACGTTAGCATGTGATAAGTTGTGTTGCGATGCTGCGTCCTCCACGACCACACTACCATCTGGTTTACAAAGCTTTAGTATGCAGTGCACCTCTACGGTTTAGCATAATACGCGTTGCATTGATATATGTGTATATATTTATACCTGTATACATATATATGTATGATGTATGTTCTCGTGTTGCGCAAGCATGCGTTTTCCTATTGCAATACAATGCGGTGTGCCATGTTATGACGCGCATTGCGCGGTATTGCTATGCCTTCGCGGTGCGAAATTATAACGGAGTGTTTGAAGAGTTGGTATGTTGCGTTAAGCAATGATGTGATGTGAAGCGACGTGCAATGAAATACCATGCGTTGGTTTGCACGACGCTGTTAAGTATGCCATATTATGTTGTGGTATGGTATGCGTTGCTGTGTCGTGATGCGTTACGAGATGCGATGCAAGATGCGACCATGTATGATATGACAATCACGCGTGTGTTAGGGCACACAGCGCAAGGATATGATACGACTCACCATACCATGAAATATAATGTTGTGTGTTGCAATGTTCTGTCGCGAGCAGGGATGCGTTGCAAAACCATGCAGTGATGTGTTGTCTTCCGCCACGATGCGCTATGCTGTGATGTGCCATGCCTCGGAACGTTATTATCTGAGACTACCGGAGGGTAGATCGTTCAAGCGAAAAGATGTTCGTTCAAGCGAAAAGATTGTTCATTCAAGCCAAAACGCAACCAGCGAAAACTACGTGGATAGACGCAGGTATACACAGGGGGACACAAAGGGACATTGGGGGACACAAAGTGACACTGGGGGACACCATTGGACACTTGGGGACACAGAGGGACGGAGAGACACAGAGGGACACAGAGCAAGACAGAGAAACACAAAAGGACACAGAGAGATCCAGAGGGACACAGAGAGACCCAGAGGGACACAGAAAGACCCAAAGGGACACAGAGAAACACAGAGAAACACAAGGACACAGAAAAACACAAAGGGACACAGAGAAACACAGAGAAACACAAGGACACAGAAAAACACAAAGGGAGACAGGGGGACACAGAGAAATGTAGAGAAACACAAAGACACAGAGAAACACAAAGGGACACAGAGAAACACAGAGAACCACAGAGGAACACATAAGGACACGGAGAGACCCAGAGAGACACAAAGCGACACAGAGAGACACAAAGGGACACGGAGAGACACAGACAGACACAGAGACACAGAGAGACACAGAGAGACACAGAGGGACACAAAGGAACACAGAGGGACACAAAAGGAACACACCGGGACACAGGGAAACACAGAGGGACACAGAGAGACAGAGGACGCAGAGAGACACAGAGTGACACAGAGAAACACAGAGCGACACATAGAGACACGCAGAGGGGCACATAGGGACACGCAGAGTGACACAGAGGGACACAGAGGGACACAGAGGGACACGGAGGGACACAGAGAAACACAGGGACACATAGGGACACCGCTGGGAACCCGTATTTTGGGCATTTCCAGGTTCGATCTCTCCAAAATCCCATCCTGGCGGTCACCGCTCGTGGGGACAGAGGCTCTGGGCACCTGGCAGAGCCGGGAACCAGGATTTCGGGCTTATCCAGGCTCGATCTCTCCAAAATCCCGGTTCCCGCCATCCCAGCGGTCGCCGCTCATGGGGGCGGAGGCTCGGGGCGCCCGACAGAACCAGGAACCGGGATTTCGGGCTCAATCAGGCTCGATCTCTCCAAAGTCCCAGTTCCCGCCATCCCGGCGGTCGCCTCTCGTGGGGCGGGGCCCGGCGGGGGTTCGGGGCGCCTGACAGAGCCGGGAATCGGGATTTCGGGCTTATCCGGCCTCGATCTCTCAGAAGTCCCAGTTTCTGCCATCCCCGGCGGTCACTGGTCGCGGGGGCCCGCGGGGGTGGGGCGCATAAGCCAGAGCGACGGATCGAAGGTCTTCGCAAACAAAAGAGCCAACAAGCTCCGGGCATGGATCCCCTGCGGCCCTGCGCGCGCCGCGCACCCCATCTCCGAGTTTTCTGGGCGATTTTGCGAACGCGTCCCGAGCGAGGGCGCGGGAGGCACCGGGAACCGGGATTCCCGCGCTTCCTGGCAGGTGCTCGCAAAATCTTGGTTCCCGCCAGCCGCGGGTCGCAGGGGCATGGAAATCTTGGCCCCTGGCGCCCCTGCGCCCCGCGGCTGGCGGGAACAGGGATGTTAGTCGGCACGTGTGGAAATCCCGGTTCCCGCCAGCTGCGGGGGGGTGGAAATTTTGGCCCCTGGAGCGCCCCTGCGCCGAGACCCTGTCCGGAACGTGCGGAAGTTCCGATTCCCGCCGCATGCGGGGCGCAGGGGCATGGAAATCTTGGCCCCTGGCGCCCCTGCGCCTCGCGGCCGGCGGGAACCGGGATTGCTGTGAGATCCTGCCTGGAACGCGCAGGAATCCCGGTTCCCGTTGGTCGCGGGTGCGGGAGTAGCCGAGCCGCGGTTCCCTGCTCCACGCAAGGAGGAGGAGGAGGAGGAGGAGGAGGAGGAGGAGGAGGAGGAGGAGGAGGAGGAGGGAGGGAGGGCCAGCCGGCCGTCAGCACTAAAACCACGACCACTACGACCACCACGGCCACCACGACCACCACGACGACCAGCAGCTCGACCACTACCAGCTCGACCACCACGACCACGGCTTCCGCGGCCACCTTGGCTGCCCGCCCGCCCACCGCGACGGCCCCCCCCCCCCGGCCCCTTCCCCTTCCCCTCCCGGCCGCCCCTGCTGCTCCCCTCCTCCTGCTCCCCCCCGCAGAGGGCGCGGGCAGCCTTCGGCCCGCGTCGCATCCCAGGGCCTGCCTCAAGACGAGGCTGGCTCGGGGCGCACTGGACTGTGGCCCCCAGAGAGCCAGTGGGGGCGCCATCCCCGCGACTGGCGCGGGGGAGGGAGGGAGGGAGGAGGAGGAAAAGGAGGAGCAGGGCGAGGAGGAGGAGGAGGACGAGGAGGAGGAGGAGGACGGCGGAGGAGGAGCAGGAAGAGAAGGAGGAGGAGGAGGAGGAGGAGGAGGCGAGGAGCAGGAAGAGAAGGAGGAGGAGGAGGAGGAGGAGGAGGAGGAGGAGGAGGGGGAGGAGGAGGAGGACGAGGAGGAGGAGGAGGAGGAGAGGGAGGCCGATGGGGGGTATCAGAGAAGAGGGGGCCGCGAAAATGATCAGAGAAGAACCCGCAGTGCTTCTTCCCTTTTCGCGCGCACGCGCCGAAAGGATTTCGCCCGAACGGCCGCAGTTTTCGCGCGAACCGTTTTCGCGCGAACGGCGTACTCTCCTACCTACCGCCCCCTCCCATATTGTGGTATGGAAATCAATGATGTATCATGCGTGGCGCTTCGATGCCATGCTGGATTGTGCTAGCCTTACATTACTATGCTAACTTGCGCGTTGCTACTCATGCTGGGCCGTACCATGCAATGTTAGTTATGTTGTGCCATAGGGCGCCATGTTACGATATGGTATTCAATGGAATGCTACGTGGTGCAGTGGTGTGATTGACTGTGCTAGGTATAAGTATGCGTTGTGTTGCATTGCGTATGTATGCCACAGATGGAGGTCCCGCTGGTTTTCCTGAACAACATATACGGATATATTCCCAGCACGTTCTTGCTACAAGAGTCGAAGGACAATCCTTCATCAATTTTTGTGTAAGCCGGCTCGTTGTTACACCTTCCTACGTAATTTGTCTACGTATTTGATCCGATCCCCACGTGCGTCGGCATCGACAAGGTCAAAGCACTTGAGAAAGTTGGACAGGTGCCCTAAGCGTGCACTCGGAGGAAAGTCTGGCCGTCTCCCTTCCTCTCCATATCGTAGATGCTCTTGTGCTCCCAGACCTCCTACGTCAATATGTTAAAACCTGCCAGTCCAAGAACGTCTGACAAAGCGTTTCGTGTTGGATAGTTGCGACGGTCTTGGGGCCCGGAAACATACACAGAGGCCGCCGAAAACGTGGGAAGTGTTGTTTTGATGCTCCAACACGTCGAAGTTACGGCGTTCGAAGCGGGCCTCCAAGATTTGGAGAGCCCAAGTCAAACCCCTAAGGATACGTTGTCTTGGTCCGCGTTGGAACTAGACAGGTTGGTCGAGACTCTTCGCATCAGCGCCGCAGGGCGACTCACTCCGAACCCGACCCCATGGGGAATTCAATGTAGGGATGATCTGCAGGCGCTGGTCAACGCCGATCCGCGCTTCGACCAGACTTGGAGTGACCCAGAAAATTGATTGCAGATGTTTCAGGATTTCCGGCTAGACCAAAGGTTCTCCATGATCCAGGTGGGCTCCAACAGGAACTTTCTTAGCGAGGACGGTTCAAGGAGAGTTGTCAATAGAGTGCACAGGCTGGGCTGGGCATCACGACGCTGGGAGGGATACACGCTCACATCGCAGAGCACCAGCACGACGAGGTTAGCAGCAACAACAGCAGCATCTTCGACAAGTACGGATGCACGCGCGAGATGGGGGGGACGGAGTAGGTGGCGGGATGTATTTTATTACGTTGAAGGCACTCACGGAACACATAACGCATGCGCTACGCATGAGGAAT